GCTGCGCCTGGGCTGGGACTGGTCCCGCAGGCGCAGGGTAGCAGGAAACTCTCTGCTCACCGCATGACAGTCTTTTACTATTAAACATTCTTGAATATTCTGAAGGAAGGAAATCCATGTTATTTTAATTTAGCATTTCTCAAAGTTGTTTGATAATGAAACTCCAGTGTGGAACTGTGAATCTAAACATTGTCCTGGGCCTGTGTTGGCTTGGTATGGTGCTATCTGAGGGAATGGGGGCTTCATATAAAAACCCATCTTTTTATAATCCTCAGTGGGAAGCTTTATGAGGCTGCTGTTCTGGGTTAACAAATAAGACAGAAGCAGACAAAACACCAAATGAAAGCATGTTAAGTATCCCAAGGTAGTGATGCTTTGTTTGATAAATAAAATTTTAATTTAAAAGCAAATGATAGTAAAAGTAATACATGTTCAGTGGTAAAAATATTTAAAATAACACATAAGAATTTAAAATAAATATGAACTAATTGTATTTATCTATGTTCATTAAATACTTTGACAATGCTCTGTTCCATTTGGTAGTTTTCTTTCATTTGACTATTTCAGAGACATATATATATATATATATATATATATATATCCAGAACATCATCACATTTTATTGGCATACATGCCATAATTTATTCACACAAATAGTTAAAAAGTTTGGAATTACTTCTGTGTTCTTGTTTAAAATAGTGCTGCAGTAATTATTTTTGTATATATATCTTTGATAGTTGCTAAGTAGTTTCTAGAAATGGAAATCCTGTTTCAGATGCAAGGCAGATAGATGCTCATTGTGTCTCAATATCCATTCTTCCTATATTATATGAAAGGAGAGAAGTCCAGGACTGTCCTTGACAAAGATGAGCAATGCCGTTGGGCCTGACAACGTGCATGTGGGTGAGGCTTTGCCACCTACTTCTTGGCATCTGTCCATTCATCCCTTGTTCTTTAATAATATAGCCATATTATTTGTTTATTCCTGGCAATACTGCATCCAGTTAATGGGCTAAATTTGTCCTAGCTTCCTTTGCAGATAGGTACAGTCATGTGGCTTACTTTTTATTTATTTATTTATTTGCAGAACTGGGGATTGAACTCAGGCCCTTGCGCTTGCCAGTGAAGCACTTATTCCACTGAGCCATCTCCCCAGCCCCAAAGAACTGAGCTAAGGGGCAGGCCCCCATATGGCTTACTTTTAAGCAAGGAAAGCTCAAGTGTTGCATAATTCATTATAGACATCTACTTACTAAGGAGTAGGCAAGTGTTTCCTTGTTCTTTCCTCTTTCACATTGACTGGACTTAGCTGTCATGGCTCATGGGTAACATGCTAAGGACACAGGGAGCAGCAGGACGGTGCTCCTGACAATTTAATGCCACTGTATCGCCCTGAAAGTGCTTTCCCCTGGATTCCTTTTAAAGAAACAGATCTAAGTTTCCATCTTGTTTAAGTATTGTATTTTCTTCTGTCATGTCCTCTTTTAATAAGTGTACATAGAAAAAATTGGAAATAGAATCCAATTGTACTGAAAGGGACTGTACCAACAGGTACTCTTGTCAGCAGTTAGATTTCCTAGAAGAAAATTTAAAATCATTAAAAATGATGTGGTTTTTATCATTTTTATTATCATTTTAAGCATTTTTAGAATTTTTGCTTTAAGCTTTCAAATATTCACACATCAATAGCATTCTGTAGAGAGAAGGTAGTCATACAAATTTATATTCAGACATTGGCATGGCCACTGACAGCTGTTTGATGGTAATGCTAAATAGTTTATAAACTGGGGATGAGACCCAGTGTGAGCCTTTGCCTTGCATACATAAGGCTCTGAGTTCAATCCCCAGCACCATCACCAACAACAACAGAAAGTTTACAATCCTTTAGAACCTCAATTTCATACTTTTTAAAAATGGAATTAAAGGGCCAGGGAGATGGCTCAGTAGAATAAGTGCTTCCCCGTTAAGTGCAAGGGTCTGAGTTCAATCCTCGGTTCCAAAAAAAAAAAAAAAGAAAATGGAATTAAAGCCAGTACCTCTTTGTGTTAAGATGTTTAAATAAGACAATACCTGTAACATATTTATCATAGAATATGATATGACAGCAGGTGTTAGCCATTATTCAGTAAACAAATTGAGTAACTCCTTTTACTTAATGGAATGTGACTATAAATGGCACTATGTCTGTAGCTCAGTAGAAAAGTTTGGAGAAAAGACATGGTCATCAATAGTGTATCCATTATAATGAAGAAATTCATTGAATCCAAAAAAGCTATTGGATTTGAAAGATGAGAAAATTCTATCTGATTGAAATTTCAGAGAACTTCATTCTAAACCACCCACCATGAAAATAGCAACATGATGTGATAAGAGGGCATGAATAAACTCACAAACTAGGTGGCTAAGGACAGAAAACCACAAAGCAAGCCTAAGAATGCCAACAGAAAGACAAGCTCAATCATAAAGACTTGAATTAAACAGCTTGAAAGGTCTTTAATGTCCTAGGGCTTAACTGAAGGGCTCTAGCCTGAGTGTATGACTAGAGAGATGAGCAGGGGTGTAGTATATGACAGGTAGCCTAACCTAGGTGCAGTGTGGATTGGGCAGAGGTGAGCCAGGAGGTAAACCCACTAGTTATTACCTAGGGCTATGTGGTCACAATGAAATGAACAGAAATATGTTCTTGCATAGAACATCTGTCATTCTAATTTTTTCCAATTATCATTTGGGGAAATCAAGAGGCAGAGTTTCCCTGTGTCTTCCAAGGGTGATAAATGAGATAGTAATGAAACCATTAGCAAGTGTTTCTTTTGATTTTTGCTTCTTGTGCACACAGCAAATATGTCTCTTAGCAACATATTTTGGACTTAGCAGCCCTGAAACCTCTCTGTGAATGAACAAAGCAAAATGGAGGGAGAAGTGAGAATTACACTGATGTAAGAAAATGTACATATGGAACATGTGCCACAACCCTAAATCATGGAGAGCCAGTGATATGTACAATAGGAGACTTGGTATTCAGTAAATCAAAAGCTCTTCTCCTGAACTTGAAAACATGGCTTTAAAATATATACATGGCTTTTCCAGAGAATTGAATGCTTTCTCTTATTATACAAAATGACAATCAGATGTGAAAAATAACTTTTTATAGTATACAAGGAATAATTATAAAACTAGAATGAAAGTAGAATAAATATTACCTTGGCCTGTCTCCCTTGGTGTGTAATTTGTGTCTGGAAGACTTGAACTTCTTAATCAATTGGCCCATTGTTTGGTATTGTATTCTATGCAGGTAACTTTCTAATAAATTTTCCATTTTTTTCATTACAGACCCTTTGAAAACTTCTTATGTGTTAAACAATGTTTTTAGGCCTTTGGAATATATGCACAGATGTTGTAAAATTGCTTTTTAAGTTATGGCCCTATTGAACCCGGATGAAGGAAGGAGAAAGATAGGATAAAAAAGCAGTAGATAAGGTCTACTTGAACTTGTTCAGCTCATGTACTATCAGAGCATGTATAGCTTTCTATGGTGCATAACAAAGGACCAGAGACTTAACAGCATACAACAACACACATCTATTAGCTACCATTTCTGTGGAGAAAGAATCTTGGAATGACTTTGTTGAGTTCTCTTAGTTGACTTGAGAGTCTTCCATGAGGCTGCAGTCAAGGGGTTAGGCAAGATTGCCTTGCTTCTGGAGGATCAACTGGAGAAGAACCTGTGTCTGAGCTCTCTTGGGTTCTCGAGAGAACCGACTTATTTACTTTGCAGGTATAGTGCTGAAAGCTCAGTGTTTTGTCTGTCACTGTGGCTTTCATTATTTTCCTATTATGTGACCTCTCTAGAGGTAGTTTATATTGTCTCAGCTCATTTTGTTAAGGTCAGCAAATGAGAAACTCTAGAGCAAGTCTGCTAGGGATCTTACATAATGTACAGTCAATACAAAAGGAAGCTATACAACCATGTTGTATTTGTAGGAAGCATGTAAAAGATCTATACCCCCTTAAACACACACAATCTTGCTGGGGAGGTTATAGGAAGGTATGAACACCAGAAGTTGGTGACTGACTAGTGTGAGTTTAATCAAATAAAAAAAATGAAGAAAAGATCTGAAGAACTCTTGAGCAGACAAAACCAGTTAGGTCTTATAAGTGATGATAACCTTAATGAAATTGCAAACATAGTAAAATTTAGCTGTTTTTTCTTGTAAATGCCTAATTTAAAGAAATATAGACTTGGAACATAGGCAATTACAGGCAAGCAACAAACTTGTAAATTTCCAAGAGCAAACCAGTTGTGACAAACCTGTTATGTATTTGTTATTTGTTTTACTTTTACGACAAAATATGTTTATGTATGGGTTGCTTTTTCAAAACTACAACCTCAGTATTCCATATTAATTGCAGTGTTGTTGTATTATGATAAATAATTGGGTTTTTGATTGCTATTGGGCATTCATCTCTACAATGTTCACCATCACTAGAAAGCAAATGTAACCAATGCAAGATTTTTTGGCTTCATTTTTGTTTTCCTGTGAAAGCTTTCCCTTTGGGTTCCCCAGATGAAAACCCTGATCACTTCTGGTTCTGATCTATCTAATTCATTAATAATTATTTGCTAATATAAACTCTTGAATGTATTATTTATTTTTCTTCAGTTTACTTTGTAATAGTCTATCTTCCAAAGAAGGCATTAGAAGACATTGGAAAATTACTAAGATCGGCCTGGATGTTCTATAACTTCATTCACTTTTGGTACATAGTAAGAAATGAAAGATGTAAATTTGACTGGATTTCTTTGCTAGTTGGACAAGCAGAGTTTTGGAGAATGTAAAATGGAAGCTTTCAGGATCATTCTAAGGTTTCTAGCAAGGGTAACTGCTGTGCCTCCATTAACCAGGACAGGAAAGCAAGTGAAGGAAATGCTGAAAATCAAGGGCATAACGGATCAACTCTGAGGCACTATCCAGGAAAAGGAAACTTGTGGGGAAGTTCCTCTGAACTTTCCACAGGATATGAATCATTTAGGAATCCCATTCAAATGACTCGAATTCACCAGGTCTGTGATCTATATTTCTAACCAGCACACAGATGATGTCACTAAGATCCTAAAACAGTAAGAAGAGTAGAAAGGCCCAAGATCAGCACACTTCAAGTATTTTTTATTTCTGAAACAAACAATTTTGAAATATTTGTTCTCTTGTATATTTATAAATTCACAGATAATAATTTTCATTGTGTTTGAACTGTTAAAAGAATAAAATTTTGTCTCTTTTTACTATTCATATGTTAAAACACTGACATATTTCTTTTATGTGCACTCATAGGCCCATAGACCATAGTAATTTGATTCCCATTGTCATCTATTTAACAATGGACTTGAATAAGATTTTCTTACCAGGCCGCCCAAAATTACATCATTTCTTTTTCCACTGAATTCGTAGTGTCGTCCTGTTTCCCAAAATTTTTATCCTGAAGTGATACATCTTTGTTTTGAAAGTTTTTATTATTAACAACTACCACAAAACATGAGTCTAATTTGAAATCTTATAAAATTTAATAAATTGCAAAATAAAAGGCAGATAATATGAAGGGAGGAGTAAATCTTTTGGAAATGGGTTGGGAACTAAGAGATGGCGGTGCGGGAAATGGAGAAAAAGAGAACTGAGATGTGTTATGTGCAGGTACCAACTCCCTATGATGAGCGGGATCATTGTGTATTGCAAACATGTATTAAGAAAACTTAAAACAATTTTAGGAACTTAGGACAGCATAAATTTTTAAAAATCTGAGCAAATAAGATTTTTCACATCTGTAAACTCTATCAAAGTTTTCTTCTTGTTAAAATTAGTTGACAGTTGATCAAAATAAGCCATGATCCAAATTTCAGTAAACTCTAGATATAATATGTAATTACATCACATCTTGATCACTTTCCTTGTCAC